CAGTTAGATTGTTTGTTATATATAAAAAGAAAATAATAGTTTAACAGTTGAATTCATTGATTCATCTGAGCTAGATCATCATTGAAAATCTGGAAGTATTAGATAGTTATTTCGTCCCAGTATAGAACTTCTCATAAGTACGTATTCACGACTTGAACCTAAGACCTTCGATATCACGTACGAACACAATTAATCTCTAAGTATTCAATGATGGTTTAGCTTAGATCAACTTGTGAATTCAACTGTGTTAGGATAGTCGGAAAAATATACCAATAATTATCGTGTTAAGTCTATGGTGGCCTTGGACCTTAAATGTACATTCTCTATTGGTCGATGTTTATTTCACTTGTTGAGTATTGTACAAAATGTTGTTTTCTATTTTATGGTACGATGTGGTTTGTTTGTTTGGTATATAAATAGAGTATGTCTGAAATACAATGATTCATAACTCAGAGGCTGTGACTTGCGTTCTGGACTCAACTGACTGGGTTAGACAGGGAAGCAGGGCCAATCAGTACACTAGGTTGTTCGTACGTGTAAACGTGTCCACTGTAATCGATCGATAAAACGCTGCTTATCATAACCTGCAGTCCACACTTTACAACAAACTGTTAAAATACAACAATCTCCACAAATCCTTACCTTACTTACTTACGCCTGTTACTCCTTGTGAAGAAGCATAGGCCGCACACCAGCACCACAAATCCTTATACTGAAAATTAATATTTGACTGAAATACAATGTTTTCTGTAAGCTTTATTTCAAACGCTGGTAAATTCTATTATGTAATTTTTTGCTCATGATTACCTATATATCTGATATGTTTATCGTTAGTAGAGTTTAATGACCCGAAATCTAGCTCCAAGTAGTTTGTTTGATTGATTGCTATGGAAATATACATGGCAGCAATCTTCGTATATAATTATCGACTTAAATCACATTAGTAAATAATGGAATTAAATAAGTCAAATACGAAAATGGGTTTTTGAATATGTATATTTCATGCACTCATTGATTTGAACAGGCAATCAGGGAGAAGAAAGAAAGGGGGAAATGCAAATCTAACTAGAGAAGCGAAGAGAAGAGATCAAAGCGAAATGATGCACAATAGAGAAGGCATGTAAGCCAATTTCATTTAATCAAGCTTTAATTCATATTTATAATCAGACAAAAATAAGTTACAAATATGTGATGAATAGGATAAGAATAGAACACAAATACGCTCATTTAAAAATAGTCAAGGTTGATAAGAGAATAAGTGACAAGATCAAAATGTAGCTTGAGGAGAATGGTTATATTGGTTTGTCCAGAAGCTAGAATAAATTATGTGAGCTTAATATAGTAACCGACACTACAAGAGAAAAACGATTGCGGAAAACTCAAAATGATATGCATATATATTGGAGAAAGAGAGAGTTACATAGATCGATAGATAGACACCGAAATGTTGACTTCAAACTGATTTCAATTTCAATCTTTAGAACAAACTTTAGAACTTTGTAGCCGTGAACAATTTGACAGTAGACGTAAAAGTGAATAGTTCATTTCCTTCCGAATACTTGATCATGATTGATTCTGTTAAAACACTAATGTGATGCTACTGCTTCTGCTTATAAAGTAACATCAACATCGAGAACTGTAGAATAGTGAAAAGCTGTTTCGTCTTGTGTTTAGTTTGTAGTGTGGCGTCGAGTCGCGGATGACTATAATCACCACTACAAGAAGGTTGCGTACCAGATATCAGAAGGCAATTGAAGGTTGCAGTAAGATGTATTTGTTGGCCATCTCGTGTTATCGAAAGAATACCGAGATCGTGCTAAAGGAGCACAAGCGGAATCACTGAGAAAACGTAAGTGCGTGAAATGTCACAAGCAACGGAAGAAGGTATGTCTTTAGTACAGGTAAACAAACAAGTACAGTAAAACAATCACTGGTACAATTGGTTGTATTAATAATAATTGTTTCCATTAAACCAATCGTATTCTCATGATAAAAGTAGGTCACTACAAGTTATTCCTAATAAACATGAACCATTTAAGTCTCAAGAAGAGTATTGTACCATATGTGCAGAAATTCAAACATTTCACTTCTACCTGAAGTTTGTGCTGATGATGGTATTGTTCAGAAGAAGCTCCATGATCAAACCATCCAACTCAGAGAACAAAACTTCATCAAAAATGTCTAATGATTTTTGAACTAGAAAGAAATGATCATTTTACAAAAAAAGATAACTGAATGAGTTACAAAACTTTTATCATTTTGAATTAGAAACTGTTTTGGTTTGATAAATAAATCTAAGAATGAAAAATACATTGAAACATCTTCATATGACTTTATAAGATATTTACGTATATAAATCCTGACAAAATTTAAGTTATTTTCGTCTTATTTGGAACTCGTCAGCTAGTTGTACTTGCATTCCAGAGTTGTTGTTCAACCCCGGGACTCGAACTCATTACCATTCGCTTTAAATACCATCGTATTATCTACTTAGCTATTGGGCTCTGATATCAACAAGAGACTGATCAATTACAGTCCTCAACAACAATGAGAAGATTCAAGTAAACAATACCAAATGGCTATCACGACTCAATAGCTAATTAGATAACGTACTAGCGTTTGAAGTGAATAGTATTGGGTTCGAGTTCCATAGTGAACATCAACTCTGAGATACAGGTACATCCAGCTGACGAGTCCCAAATAGGACAAAGTGGCATGTATCCTGGATTCAACTGCTAACCACTATCCATCTTTGCTTAGAATGCTTATGACTTAAGGCTATATTAAGGCAATCCGTCCAAGATGCAAATATGCCAGTCAGTCAGTCAGTCAGCTACAACGTTGGATCAGGCACATATATGCATCGGTCCAGGTTGTCATACCTCATTAGCACAGCAAGATGAACACCGGATTCATAGGAATGGTTAAGTCAATAGTGGTAATATATAAAAGAAAGATTGCATATAAGGATATAATACAGGAAGAAAGAATTAGTTCGTAGAAAGAAAGATATGAAGCGATTTTAATCTCATAGTTTGAGGGAAGACATCAAGTGTATACACCGGTTCCATTGTGATCGATTCTGAGCCATGTCATCAAGAGTCTCTAACCATTGGTCACGAAAGTCACGCGGACCTCAACCAAGTAGTCTGCATCTACCAACATGGCTCAGACTAGAAGTTAGTGTCTTCAAGCATTGATGCCACATTTTGGTTTGGCCGCCCCTAACTTTCTTCCAACCATCTCCAAATATGCCGATAAGAGACTGATCAATTACAGTCCTTAACAACAAACGGATAATACAAGCCAAGTGAATATAAGTCATTTTCATAAGTATACTCTTAAAAGTAATTCATCGACTTTATATTTAACCTGTCGGAAAACCATTGTGATTTATAAAATTGTTTTGTCATTTTGTTTTTTTGAAACAAAACCTTAACCCTAATCGGTATGTTGATTTATTCCTTTCTTCAAATAAATCATCTAATTCATAATCAATATCCACTTGCATTTCAAATATGATGATATTTGATTTGTTTAAATTTAACATTTAACTGTCTAAAATTTAAACTAAGGTCATTCAAACAATGAACGAATGAATGAAGGATGATGGTAGTAGGTAGGTAGGTAGGTAGGTAGGTAGGTAGGTAGGTAGGTGGGTGGTAGTAGTAGTAGGTAGAAGGTAGAGTATCATTCGTTGGTTTCTCAAAACTTTCAGGTCAATCATGGTGTTGAGAAAACATGAATCAAGTTTCGAAAAGAGTAAATCTTATTTTATTAATATATATATATATATATATATATATATATATTATTGAGTAATTGTTCATCAATGGAACGGAGTTGCCATGACAACATATCTATATATACAAAAGAGATTTTATTTGTATTCACTATAAGATTGTATTCTATTCAACTAAATTAAATTGATACTATGGAAACGTAGAAAAAGAGAGTAAATTTTAGTTTATTTAGATTTGAAAAAGAAAAGAGAACTCGAAAGAAAGAAAAGAAAATAATTGAATAAAAATTCTTTGAAAGTTTTTTATGATCTTTAGTGTTCATTTTTTTGTGATTGAATTAAATTGGATGCTAGCTGAGTAGTCAAGTAGGTTAAACGTTCGCATGCAAGAGTGAAGGCTCTGGGTTGGAACATGCGAGTGAGATCGTGGTTGCACACTCCTGAGGAATCGCACAATAAGACGAAACAACCGTTCAATGCTACCAGGTTTTCAATAAATTTAGAAAGTTGAAACTATGTAATAGCCTGTTACTTTGTCGAGACCACATAGATTATTATAGCTTCCATACTAGTCAGTTTATTCATCCTCCTCAAGCTTTATTTTGTTCTTGTCAATTACTCATTTATCAACACTGATTGAATTTAGATGAGTGTATATGTGTACATTGCTTATTCTACTCATCATATCTCTGTAGCTTATTTTTGTTTGACTATAAATAATGATTAACTCCTGATCAAATGGCGTTTGTTCACATGCCCTCTCCATTCCGTTTAGCTTAACTGCCCCTCCTTTGCTCTTTCTTCGCTTCATTTCTTTGATTATCTGTTTGGATAAATGATTGTATGAAATATATGTATTCGAAATCCATTCTTGTATTTGACTTATTTAATTCCATAATCCACTGACACGATTGAAGTCAATGATCATATACGAGGATTGGAGGCATCTATGTTTTGATAGCAATCATAATACGATTTTATTGGAGTCAGATAAAAGGTCACACTAAAAGCGGTGAACCTGTCAATAACACCATCACCTGATTTAAGTGAAGTCATAATATACAGCCACTAACAGTGATGAACCCGACGACCAAGCTAACGCACCAAGCTACGTCTATGAAGAAACAATATTCCAAATGACAGTGAAGAAAATTAAGACAAGTTGACAAGTTGTTTTGTCTATTTCAAATATTCTATTCATTTTATAATAAGAAACTTTGTTAAGTAAAATGTAAAATGTCAATATTGACTAATACAAATGAATACGGTTTTAACTAGTTGTAAGATTTTTAAGCAAATTACACGAATAAATGATTGTGATTTGGATGATGACGATGATTTGGATGATGATGATGATGCTTTGGATGATGATTTGCATGATGATGACGATGACTTGGATGTTGATGACTTGAATGATGATGTTCATGATGATGATGATGATGATGATGACGATGATTTGGATGTTGATGACTTGAATGATGATGTTGATGATGATGACGATGACGATTTGTATATTTGTTGAGGACGTTAGATCCTCAGAACTCACTTGGAAAAGAACATAATTTTGTAATTTTATTTATAAAGTTTGAATTTCTTTGTTTTCGCTCCAAAAACGCTCTTTTCATCTACATGTCGTATTTCCCACTTGGGAGACTCTTAAATGCCATTGGTCCGTTGTGTCTTTTAGTATGCTATTTTGTAACTTTCCCCAATGATGGTTTTGTGCTTTATATATACGTTTTGATTTGCGTTTGTTGTTATCGCTCGTTTCTGGCTGTTTGAGGAATATACTTCTCCTATTCCAAGCTTAGACTTCTTCCTCTAGTTAGCGCGGCTGGGACGCATCAAATAGCTAGCTTATTGTTTTTTGGTCACCGAGTCTTTGTTCCGTTCACAGTTTAAGTGAACTCGTAACCGCTTCAAACCTAGCAATAATGATGAAGGTTTTGATGATGATGATGATGATGATGATGACGACTATGTACAAATCGAATTTGATCGACAATGAAACATTTAACACTTCGTTAAACGTTACAAATCAGGAGAAAACTTTTTAAAAAAAGAAATGTGAAAGTTTTTCCTTTTTAATTTGTAATTTTGAATGTAATGTGAATCCATTGTATTGTATAGTTTAATTATAAGTTAGACATTGAAAGCGTTGAATGATGGCCGGCTTATTGGTCTAGAGGTTCAACGTGAGACTGAAGTTCCTCGGTTCGAGTCCTGCAAGCGGGATCGTGGATGCACATTGTTGAACAGTCTCGTACTGGGATGAAATGGCCGTCCAATGCTTCCAGGTATTCAATAGTGGTCTGACATCAATCGGTTCATGATCTTAATCAAAAACTATAAGTTAAGAGATGTGATGTTTTTCTTTAATGCAATATAATCCGAAATGAACTATATGGATCATCTACACAATTAATGAAACTGATGACTGATGACTTTATTCATAATAAGTTGTCTTCAAGAGCTGAATATATTTTTATTAGATATACCTAATTTATTGGACTTTTCAGCGAGCTTGTAGTAAGCCCATTCAACTACTGTATTACTTATCTGCTCACTGTAATTTAGACACTTAATCCACCATGTAAATCTCTGTATGAGTCTGATTGAGCACATGCCAATTTTTAATCTATTCTACCATTGGTTGTAATATACAGATAATCAATAATTTATTAACACTTGATTGACACTCATAAATATATATGGATTTTTAACACACACAAACATACTTAGTTTCCTTGTGTGCTTACTTCCTGTACGATGGATGGATGTTTCTTCCTATTGCGGGAAGCCTCAGCAGTGCGCATTCACGATCCCGCTCGTGAGATTTGAACCCAGGGCCTTCAGTCTCGGGAGGGAAGGCCTAACCTACTGGATCACTGAGCCGGCATCTAATGTTGTTAGTGTCTAACATCAACCAATCCACGAAATTGAGTGACACATCCACCATTATCTTCAGTGAGTTATTATCTCACAACAGGTTTAGTTGAACTCCACTGGTCATTGCTTCTCACTAGAATTCTATGTAATACCACTTGAAGCCAGTCACTAGTGAGGGTATGTTGATTAGTATAAGAGGAGGTTTTGTGGATGTTGTCATAATTTTAATAGTTGAGTTCATGAGTCAATCAAAGCTACACCACCATGGAATACCTGTGAGCACTAGATGGCCGTTTCGTCCTATTGTAGGACTCCTCAGCAGTGCATATCTACGATCCCACCTCGTGAGATTTGAATACATAAAACGTGTATGAATAATGTATTATGCTAAGAATTAAGATAAGGATATGATTTCAAGATTTATACATTAAATCTTATATCATTTTGTGACAAAGTCTTTAACCCTAACATCCAATACTTATGCTTCACATTAATTCTTAAGCCTAATTTAATATTTAGGGTATGATGTTTATTGTTCTTTATTGGTTTAACCATATACCATAAGTTTTAATGATGCAATTACTTTTATCTTTGACTTATTCATGTCTAATGTTGTTGTTTTCTTATCTGCACGGTTAATAGATACTACTAATTTATATTTTAAAATGATTTCAAATTTTGCATTCAGTTATGTAATCATTACTGATGTTTCTATTAACATTCAAGGATGCTGACAATTTATGAAACTTATTAATTCAGTGAGGTTTCATTCTCTTATTCTTAGATGTTGCTTAAATTGAACATAGAATCTTCAGTGGTTACAATGAAGCAACTTACTTACTTACGCCTGTTACTCCTCGTGAAGGAGCATAGGCCGCTCATCAGCATTCTCCATCCAGCCGTGTACTCTAATCAAACAAGAATATATTATGTCCTAGAAGTTAATCATTCGTGTACATACAATCATTTGATATTGACACGATGTTTTCTAACATTGATTTAAAATTTGATCTCATATGGAGTTGTAATACTGTATTATTGAGGTGTCGCACGTTAAAATCGAAGGTGATCGACTAATTTATGGATTAAATTGACTTACAAGTTCATATTACTGAAGGCTTTGGGTTCGAATCCCGCGAGCGGGATCGTGGATGCGCACTGCTGAGGAGTCCCGTAGTAGAACGAAACGGCCGTCCAGTGCTTCTAGGTTTTCAATGGTGGTCTAGCTTCAATTGACACTTGATTTCAATCAAAAACTTAACAATCTCTACAACCCTATACTGATAATTACCATATGCTCACTAGAGACTAGCTTCGTGAGAAAATTCTCGGAGTTCTAATGAGAAGCCGTGACCAGTGGAGCTAATCCGTGTCAAATGGAGACGGGTATCTACCTCAGTACGATGGAAGATGGTCGCGCATTTTCGTGGATTCGTTGAGGTTAGGCATTAACACCATTGGATGCCGGTTCAGTGGTCCAGTAGGTTAGGCGTTCGTGCGCGAGACTGGAGGCCCTGGGTTCGAATCCGGCGGGCGGGATCGTAAATGCGCACTGCTGAGGAGTTCCACAACAGGACGAAACGGCCATCCAGTGCTTCCAGGTTTTCAATGGTAGTCTAATATCACGCGGTTCATGATCTCAATCAAAAACAAATATTTCATCAAACTATCGAAAGACTTCTTAGTACATGGTTAATTTTCGTCAGTCAGTGATATGAGTTTAAAGTCGGTCCATATTTTCAATTCTAACAATCGATTAGTTATAAAATAGGCCATACATTATCACTGTAGTGAATATTTTGTTCAGATACTTCCTTTGCACTCCTATTACTAATTCATTGATAGTGTTGCTTAAAAGTTATAACTTCAGTAAAATCGATATTTTAGGAACTTTAGTTATCTATGACCTTGTCATAGCCTTCCCCATATGTTTATCGATAAATTTCAATGGATGATTGTTGATATCAATTCAGTTGTGGATGTAACTTAACTCATTTTCATCATAGTAGATAAACTTTTCAATAGGTCTCTTTTGAACCTAAGAGTTACAGAACTGTAAAATGAACATGTTAAGCATTGAATGTTGATTTTCAGACGTATACTTCTTTTTCTTTTGGTTCCATTTAATCGTCTTGTAAATAAGATGTCTAAAATGAAATCACTACCACAGCGTACTTTTTCTAGTGTAAAGATGATAGACAGATGGATACAGTTAAATATTTTAAATATACTTACCTTGTCGATTATATCAGTAAACAGTAAAACAGTATTGTCAGTATTCAGAATCAGATTTGTGTAGTGAGGACAGAAGGCCTACGACCTATGTTATTCTTTTTCTAGTATGCTTCTATAAGCGTCCAGTCTTCTCTTGAATGAATCAATTGAAGGTGCGGACACCACTGTTTCGGGTAACAGGTTCTAAGAATTGATGGCTCGGCATGCAAACCTGCATGCCACGAGTTGTGTAGAAAAAATAGTTTTGGTCACTTTTCGTTTTTTTCTAGTGAATCATTCATTATTTCTACCAGAAAAGCATCATTCAGATGTGAGTCTAGTGATGAATCCAAAGCAACCAAACCCCATATCTCTGTAATATTTGTTAATAAGTTGAAGATGTACATTTATTATGTTTACGTTGGATAATGATTGATGTTTATTGAGCATCTGAGAATTGTTCTTCTTAGCATAGCAACAGGAATTCTAGTTTGTATTTACTTCCAACAAGTTCATTGTATATAAAATCCACTATATTTAGTAAAAGAATATTAGTGAATGAAAATGATACATCTAGAGAGATCATAAACTTGTTTACGACAACAAGATTTTCCACATTGTGAACAAATTCAAAACGTCAATACTACGTTTGACACTTCCTATGTGTAACAGCTTAATGTTATATCTGAAGCTAAGATTCTTAATGTAGCACGTATAACTTAAGCACTCGAATGCTAAAACCTTTCCAAGTCGCAAATGAGAAGACAGAAGACAAGTGGAAGGAATGTTATTCCAAACAGTGTCGATTATAGTACAAAACTGTCATTTATTTATAGTTTTTAGTAAAAACGAAATCATCATTATAGTCCTCCAATCCTCATACACGGGGTTGTTAGCAATCGTCCAATAGGGACGCTCCATATAGGGCTTCTGGAATGTTCCTTCAAAAGATGATTGGGTGGAATATTTTCGGCTCTTTCTAAGCTTCTTAGAGCTTCCTCGAGTTCACGCGAGGACTATCCCCACACTTTAGGATCTATACTAGCCATCTCATCGTACCATGATAAACATAACTACTCATATCTAACACTAATAGTACAGATTAACCCCCTTGTATTCGTTTAAAACAGATGATACAGTCTTGTTACTATTGTCTATTCAAATCTAAACATTTCAGACAAATCAAGCAGGGATAGGATTTAATGCTTTGCAGTGTGAAAGCTGTTCGAGCACTTACGTCTCCCCGAAAAAACATTAAGTCGTCTACAAACGATTTAGTATCCTCAGACTCATACCACAATTAGATATTGTGTCGACCCGCGTACCCCAAAATCCGGAGCATGGTTTATGGTCATCACTCTGGCATAACACCAGACCTAATGGGCCTAGCCGAACTCATGGTCCAGTCCAGACACCAAAAAGAATATGTAAGCTTGGCCAGCCACGTGTCGGATACAGAATGTACCGTTGCGAATTTGGACGGGATTCAGGCTTAGAGTCGTTCAGTTTTAACCTCTCAAATGGTAGCTTCGTACCACTGACTTTTCGACCAGGAACACATAAC